AGACAACTATTAAGTACTGACAGTCATGTGTATAATAAAATGCAATGTAAATTTATTTAGAATGTTAAAAACAAATTTCAAATGACTATAAAGAATGTGCCGTAAAATGGTTTACTGTAAATTTAGAATTTTTTAGATGTTTCTAGTATTGCGAAAATTGCGACCAAGATAGGTGTTGCAAAACAAAATATCTAGCATTTTTAGTTTGCATGATATTATTTGTATGCAGCTTGTCTTTAAATTCCAATAAATTCCATATGTTCGATTTAAGTTGTTAAGATTTACATGTAATTCTGATATACAACAGCTGTTTACTGTAATTAACTTCTATTTAACAATCAATATAATACAATCTGAAGAGGTTTACAGATCAATCAATTCAATGTAGAATAATGTAAAGGAACACCTTCAGAATTAAAAATTAGACTTCATGCTCAGATGTAGACCAATATGTTGTTTCAGCAGCCAGCACCTACATGAAGCTATGATACAGTGAATTGGGTGGTTGCTGTCTGTTTTATTTATTCATGTTTTATGAATTGAAGCATTAATCATTTGTTTTTATGCCGTTCGTTTTTCCTTTTGAACTGCTTTCCTATCGGTCATGTCGCGGTGAATTATAGTATTCTTTTATGTACGGGTTTCATTGAAGGCGTTATGATGACCTGTAGTTGCTTACATCTGCGTACTTTTGTCTCTGGTTGATAGCTTTCGCATAGGTTATGATACCAAAATCTACTCTTCTGTGTCTTAAACGGAACACAATCTGGGCAACAGGAGCTCTACATTCTTCGTATTTTTAAGAAACAAGTGATATTAGGTTGAGGCTAGTGCAATCAATAAATACAAAACTCTCCATCAGAGACCATACGACGTATATCAAACAACAAACAAGACCCGTACTTTAAGCTATGAAATAAGCAAAAGCAGATGTCAGTCACAGAATTAAAGCATGAAAATTAATAAGTGCTCAACGGTTTGATGTCTGACTTGCAAAAACACAAACATCTCTAACCCCTATTATTCGGGATTTTAGAGCATGTCATTATTGTTAACAACACAGACAAGGAGCAACTATGATAAGAGCTAATATTTTAGTTATAGGGTGATAAAAGTATACTGATCATGAAACATGTCTTGGATTTTATATGCAATGATAGTTCAAATCTGAGAAATCCATTACGATACAAACAACGCAGCGAGGTTAAGGCACATTGAAGGAAAATCAATTAATTTTGGCCATAATTTGTATCTGCAAAAAACACGCTTGTTATCACCTATAACTTGGTTAAAAGTATATGCCAATGTCTTTATTTCCAAAAAACATACAACTAAACAGTTTTATTACATTGTAAGGTCTTGCAGTAAAGTGAAAGTAGTCACGTGACCACTAATCCAAAAAAACAACCTTAGCGATCACAAAAGTGAAAAGTGCAGGTTGAAGATAACCACGTACAAACGCCAACCAAGGAATTCTAGACACTACTAGGTACACTTTATATAAAAACCGCTGTTACAAGTTCAATATTTACGTTTAAATTGAAAATCGATCAACTTTTACGAGTTAAATGGCATAAAAAGGCAAAAAAATACCCTCCCGATGGCGCTAGAAAAATGATCCACAACTATTTTGATTTGTAACAGCACTTTTTATAAACTGCAACATCTGCTGAATCTATACATGTCTGCAATTAAGAGGTACTCATTGATCTTCAACCTGCACTTTTCGTATAAAAAATAGTTGTTTGTTTTTAGTTTCCGAGATAAAATACAAACGCACAAAAGACGAAGAAAAGCAAAGACGGAATAAGACGGGCCAACAACCCGGAAACGGGGAAGTTGGGAGTATAAAATTTTATTATTACCTTCGATGAAACATTCGTTTTTTCTTTATAATTTGCAATTAATTTCTATAAAAATAAAATATTTGAAGATATGCTCAAGTTTTCCAGTTTTCTTGGAAGATTCCAATATATACGAGGTCGTACAAGCTAGATAACAGAGATAAAAATTACCCGAGAACTGGTTGGCGAACAAAAATAATAAGATAAATATCCTAGCACTCCCTACCCCTCCTACACAGTATGTGTTCCACAAATTTTGTATACCAATGTATTAATTGCCAAGTATTTTCATGTTCGAACCTCTGGTGTATCATCGCAAATGGTAGAGGCGGATTCAGGTGGGCTTGGGCTCCCTTGTGGATCAACCATTATATGGTTAATACATACACTTTTTACATGTCCCACTCCAAACGTCGCTTAGTGATGGGGGGACCCTGAGTCCCCACTTTTTTTAAAATCCGGAATCCACATCTGATCAGCCTCATGCCCCCCCCCCCCCCCCCCCCCCCGGGTCCTAGTGTAGTTCTCATTTGGCAAATGCAAGTTCATTATACAAATTAAAAGCATACTAGGTCTCTCCTAGTACATCAAATATGTATATATTGTAAATCATTATATTAAAAAAAGTTGTATTTTCACAAAGAACTCACCCAAATTCATGAATTTACTTATATTATTTGTTTGCTCTTCGTCATTGATAATGTGTAAATAAATTATAAATCAGTATAAACTTCCTACCTGCATATAAATATTCAGATTGTACTTGTTGAATGTCTCAAGTGAGAACTGGTATCAATTTGTAAATCATGATTGGGAGGTCTTTTTGAATTTCTTATGATTTTTGCCTCTGAATATTCATTTCTACCATGCAGTTACCAAGCCAGTATTATGTATGTACAGCTTGCACTTTTTGATTTTGTCCCTAATGATTTCCTGCATTTTGTTGGACAGAAGATTCCTTTTCATCCCATCTGAAGCAATATTTTTCTTATTTCAACATTTTTACTTGGTAAAATCATTCTGCCGGTTCCTTACTTATTTTTGTTTGGAATATTCAAAAGCACACAACAGCATTAACAGTTAATGGGGGATACAATTCCCTTTTCCTAGAATGAGTAACTTTTAATATTAGCACTTACTACCTTTTTGGGGTAAGGATTAGCAGCCGAGATATCGAGTTACCCATCCTTAAAAAATATACCTTTATATCTCATGCTTTATGCTTGCAATATATCATGGAGAGATAAACAGATTTGACAGATATCGAATGCATTTACGACTAATTTTAATCGCATCTGTAAAAAAAACCAGATTGGATTAGTTTCAGATACATGTACATAATGCTTCAATCAGCAACCTTATCATATACATCATCTTAAATTCTCAATATAATAGTATACCATGAAGCTGCAAATAGTGATCTATTTTTTTCAGCCGCTCATTACATGTTAAGTTTCTCCCTACCCGAGTTCCAACAATAAAAATGGACAGCCACCGAAGAAATAGCCAGAAGCGCTAACTGACATCCAACACAAGCAATCAATTGTTTTTACATGATAAAGTGCCATATAATTTTAAAGTTCATCGTTAAACATGTTAAAATCAGAAAACATATTTCCCAAGACCTGCTGAAATTGGAAGCAACTGATTGGTAGCTATGGTAATTAATTTTTTTTGCTGTCAAAATAAAACATGCATTCCGAGAGTATTGCATGGCAATACACAAGTCCGCTACCGGTTAAATAAAAATTAATTGTACTGGAACAAAATGCTAACCTTATCTATAACTTGTCATGGTGTAAACTATATAACAAATATTAAATCAATATCTTCAAGCATGACGAAAAAAAGTGCAGAAAACTGAATATTTGAGTGAATTTTGATCTGTAACTTGTCATGATAAAACAATATACCAAATATCAAATCAATATCAGAAAGCACGAAGAAAAAAGTGTGGAAAACTGATTTGCCGGACTGACGGATGGACAACAGAGTGCGGTAGGGGACTAATAAATTCTATGTACTGGTATATATATATATATATATAATAAAATATAAATATACAGAAATGACTGACTGAATCACAATTTTTACATATACATGTAAACAATCCAAAAGTTTCAAGTGAATGAATCATGACATAGGTGACAGGGCAAAATCATGAGTCAACATGGAAATGAAAATATGTAAATGCTAATAAAACTACATACTAGTACTGCCTACAAATATCATTAACTAGGATACATTCAGTGGGTAATCTTAACCTGACCCAATCACAAAAAGTAAAATGACTTAGTTCATGTAATTGTTAATCAAAACTTCATTGGCAATTATACCACATCTTCTTATTTTATATTAAATTCTAGCTGTATAATATTACCAAACATGTACGCAATTTCAAAGTTAGAAAAAAACAATTTCTGTCAGTGTTGGGGATGCTGTCTAATGGCCATACATGTATACCCAACATATTTTGCTAAACAGACTAGATATAAGAATCTCTAATACTATGGAAATATTCCATCACAAGTTTCAAAGTTAGGTATCCTTCAAAAAGATATAACCTGATAACTATTGTAAACTCAGAAACTTTTGCGTAAATTTATTATCAAGATAATCATGATAATTATAATTATTGAACAATGCCAGAACAAAAAATGCGAGATTAATTATTGCAGTTTCAGAAAATGCTGGATACAAATAATACCATCATTTAAATAAATTTACATGTTTTTTTTGCAAAACATATAACCAATTTCAATTTAGACAAGAAATGAAAACATTGCAAAATTTTCTGATTTCCAAGTATATAGACAAAACTAGATACATGTATGTACATGTACATAATGGCAGCTACATGATATATATACAAGCAAAGAAAATTTCCAGATTTCTTTTTTCAAACATTCTGTCATGTCTGTGGCTGTTCCAGTGGTCTTGCTTAGTATTGAAGGCCCACCTCAATGTGACCATAAGATGAACAACAGCAATTGCAATAAAAACACTTTTTCTATGCTTTTGAACTTTTTGTATACCTGTATGCTGTGTTATGAAATGAAATTGAAATGTAAATCGTTATAAAATATGACTATTTGTTATCTGGTGGAGAGTTGTTTCATTGGCAATCATACCACATCTTCTTAGTTTTATAATTACATGTATATCCATTAGTGGTGCATCAGTAAATTGTATGCCTATATCTCATGTATATATGTAGGTATGAGTAATGTTTAAATCGAATTGATTCATCTTTCCCGTAATTGCCATAAAAATAACAAAACACTTATATAAGTCTTATAAATGAATATTTCCTTCTTCACAGTTCAACTGAAATTCATATGTCTATCTGTAGATCTCTCATTTGGTAAGGTATTGCTTAAAATATATTGCTGATTATTCAAATATTTCATAAAAGAGACGACAAATTTCATCTGTGAAATAAATAATTTTTTTAAATTAAATCCATTTTGAAACTCCAATCGTAAGAAAATTCACAAATCTCCAAACTGCCTGTATTTAGAATTCATTTTAACTGTGGTAAAAGCTTTTTAAGATGGTAAACATCAACTTCAATGACACATGAAAAAGAAGCTAAATTGTTCAGTTAATGTTCCTCTATCTCTCAGCATCAAAATACTAAATTCCAACACTGACATTGGTATTCAAACAGCCAATGCTTCTGCTAAGTACTTTACATAGAATTGCTGTCTTTTTTCTACTTTTCATAGACATATTTAGTGGCTTTCTAAACATAATTTTCATCTGATCTGATCTTCCATAATGGTCATGATGATCATGAGTTATATGCAACTTTCTACTGCTGTCTCATTGCAGGTCATCATCCCTGAAATATGAAAATGCATATATATAATAATTATATTAAATGAAATTTTTAACATGGGAAAAGTGATCAAAAGTTCAACTTCAACAAGTTACTGTGAAAATGCTTACAAAATAATTCCCCTGTCCTACATGTCCTAAATTTTATAATGTCTTCATTGAAGTTCATTCAACATTTGAACCAGAATTTAATTTCCTCATTAGTCATACACATTTTAATAAGGTGCACTACTTTTATTTAATTTTAAAATTTAACACATAATACATCTTATATGCAGCCTATAAGATGTATCATGTAATAAATTAAACAAGAATGTGTCCATAGTACATGGATGCCCCACTCGCACTATTATTTTCTATGTTCGTGAAATTGAGGTCAAAACTTTAATTTGGCATTCAAATAAGAAAGATCATATCATAGGGAACATGTGTACTGAGTTTCAAGTTGATTGGACTTCAACTTCAGCAAAAACTACCTTGACCAAAAACTTTAACCAAAAACTTAAATCTGAAACGTGACAGACTGACGGACGAAAGAACGGATGCACAGACCGAAAAAAATAATGCCCATATTATGTTTAACTACATTGTTTTGTATCTCCTTTCCCAAATGTAAATTATGACATGAATAAGGCAGGGTGCTATACTGCAATATCAATATAAGTAATGCACTTAAACCACAGCTAAGAACTTTTAGCAATCAAGCTTAGTAGATTTTTTAATAATATCTGTGTAAACTAGACATCATTGAGATGGGAGCTATCTCTGTGGGCCACGCTGTGAATAACGTGTGGTAAAAAATTTGTATCTTTACCATAGGACATGTGTTTGTCATCTGAAACCAAAGATTTTTACCTTGACCTTTGACCTAGGAAGTTGTACAAAAATTATGACACACCCTCTGGTGTTGGTTAATATACATGTCAAGTATAAAGTATGAAATCATAACGGTTCTCTAGATACAGAGCGGACACAATTTGTTACGTATGGACCGACGGACAGACTGATCACTATAGGGCGACCAGCTATTCGGCGGGGCCCTAAAAAAGTGTATTGCTGGTAAAGATACATGTACGTTATTAAATTCAGAAATTATTGTGTGCATTTATTGCAATTTTTGAAGAATGGACAAATGCGAGATTAATTATTGTGATTTCAGAAAAATACAGTTACAGTTATATGTATTGGATATCAGAATGTGACTTCTTATTATTGGGATACTCACAAAGTTACCTTAAAAAAACATTGCAATAATTTCTGAATTTACACCATACAATATTCTTACATTGTACGACAACAGAAATTTATTTGCACAAATTATAAAAGAGGAAGAAAAGCAAGGCTTGTATAGCTTTTCTCCTATTCGTCATTTTGTTCGTAACATTTGCTTTAATGTGGACTGTAAAGAGGACACAAAATTGAGCTGTAAAATAGATTTTTTTAGTAATTTGATGACATAGCTGAAAGACGCCTCCGGGTGCGGGAGTTTCTCGCTGCATTGAAGACCCATTGGTGGCCTTCGGCTGTTGTCTGCTCTATGGTCGGGTTGTTGTCTCTTTGACACATTCCCCATTTCCATTCTCAATTTTATAACTGTTTCCAACTCCAAGCAACAGAAGCAGGATACCAGTAGAATATATATATATATTACTATATATATAATATAGCTTTCTCGCTTCAGTCAGATTATCTGAACACCTGTATTTGTATAGCAAAATGGTTGGTAATATTTAATTATGGGATTATTATGTGTACCGATTCTTTTTGTCTTAAAAAATTGCCCTTTCTATAAGTTGTAATTAGCGTTGAACTAGCTTTCAGTAACTGCAAGTACTTTGTGCCTTTTTTTTGTGCAACATGTATGTGTTGATCTGACAAATTGATTGTCAAGTCTATTTCAATAACTTTTACAGTTTGTTCTTATGTTGTACTGTGACACCACTGTTGTTGAAGACAGCAAAGCAACCTATTTATAGATGCTTTCATCTACATCATTTGGTCTCTGTTGGATAGTTTTCTCATTGCAGTCATACCACATCTTCTTATCTTTATATTAATAGATTTGGTCTTCTAACTAGTAGTAGGAAAAGATTTTGGTGCAGATTGATTTGATATACAAAAAAAAGGGATAACCAGTTTTAATAGCGAGCAAAAAGAAAAAATACAACAATTTACCTGTCTAATAATAAAGCTTTTCAAATTCAAACCATTACTTTATAGTTCATCAAAGCTGGAATAGCATTCTGTTTCTTATATTTGACAGGTCAGCTAAAAATAAGAGAAAGTAATTTTTTTAATACAAATACAGATACTTTTTTTAAAATAAGGAGCAGATTAATTACAATGAATCATACACGATACATAAATAAATATAACATATCAAATAAAGAAATTACGTCTGCCACCCAACCCTGAATTGATATCTGGATTTCCTTCATAGAAATAATGCACATTTTTTCTTTGATTTCTAGAAGAATTACTTCATCATATTTAAAATAAAGAGCTGCGCCATGAGCACATGATATGTCTGTTGTCCTTTAGCTCGTCTTTATGCCTTGAATTAATCTTTATGATTAACTAGAAATACTGCTCAAAATAGCCCCCCCCCCCCCCCCCCCCCCAAAAAAAAAGCATACAAAAAAACATGCACACACCAGCACACAGAGGCACAAATCATGAATAATTTTTAAGAATAAAATCCCATAACTCGAAAAAGTAAAATCTTAAATATATAAAAATTGTATGGTAGCTTATGTTACATTTCACCAAAGTTTCACGAAAATTTGTTAAAGCATTTTTGAGTTATTGTCCGAAAACTGGAGAAAAAAAACAACCCTTTTTATGAATAAGTCCCAATACTCAAAAGCGAGAAATCAAAAATAAAAAAAAGATGGAAAGGAAACTTTTGTCAATAAATATAAACAATTCACCAAAGTTTCATGAAAATTGGTGAAAGCTTTTTTGAGTTATTGACTGAATGATTCACCAGCGATGTTTCTTAGCTTATTTCGACAAAATTGAACCAAACTGGGTGCTAAATGTGAATTATTATTTCACTATTGCACTTTCATTAAATATTGAAAAAATAATAATCATATTTTAATTTTTTCTATATCTCGTAGCTTAGATCCCCATTAAAGGCAGGCGTATAATGACTGCAGGCTTTATTTTGAACATTTCTAAATCATTGTATGCATTTAATATTATTGTGATTTTTGAAAGGAGGGACAATAAACTGCTTCGCTGATCGCAGCTGGATACGCCCGCAGAGGTCCAACCCTGAACAGTTGGGGCAAAAATGGACACAATATTCAAGCTTGATACAGGTCTGAATTTGGATTGTAATTAAATATTTGACATATTATAGGTTTCTGAATAAATGTAGTCAAAGAGCTTGAAATTGGTTATTTGAATTGAATTTATATTCAATTAAAGATTTCTTGCTGTTGTCAATACACTATATGCTGTTGCGCAATACTTAGTAAATCTGTTGTCAGACTATAAACAAATAAAATTTATACAATTCTAAAGGGAGCTTACATCAATAGATATAAACAATTCACCAAAGTTTCATAAGAATTGCTGAAAGCATTTTTGAGTTATTGTCTGAAAACTGGAAAATCCCCCCTTTTTTAATGAATAAAACCCTATAACTCGGAAATGTAAAATCTTAAATTTATAAAATTCTAAAGGGAGCTTACATCAATAGATATCAACAGTTCATCAAAGTTTCATGAAAACTGCTGAAAGCGATTTCGAGTTATTGTCCGAAAACTGGAAAATCCCCCCTTTTTTTGTGAATAAAACCCCGTCAACTTGGAAACGTAAAATCTAATAATAGTAAACGAGCGTATAAAAATGTGAGGTTAATTATAATTGCGATATTCATCGGATTAATCGCAATTCTTCTGAATTTATAGTACAATAATGTACTGCCTTGTCAATGTCTGTTGTAACTGTATATTACGTGAGCCGAGGGTACCCAAATTGCACCTATTTTGACAGTTTTTTCACATACATTTTTTAAAGATCCAGACAAAAGTTTCCATTCTGTGTTTATTTTGTAGATCCGTATCCTTATTTACTATTTAGTTCCACCAGTTTAATTTTGAATCCATATTGAATCATAGAAAAATGGGTTTAAACCGTCACCTCCAAACAATCCATGATTCTGTAATGAGGAGTACCCAAAATGCATCCATGCTTTAATTCCTATCCTTGAAATTCGAATAAGAGATGTTTTGTTTTATTTCTTAAAATATTTAGAACAATTTGACATTTAAGTCCATGCTTGCTATTCAATTTTTAAGAAATTAATACTCGTATGGCGTAACATATTCTATTTGCTCATTTTTAAAAGATGACTTTTTGTGGACGTCACATGCTAATGTTTCTGTAGATTTTACTTTTCCAGTGAATACTTCCTCTTAGAAAACTTGCAAGATTTGCTAAATAGGTGCAATTCGGGTACTTAGACGCAAGACATCATCAGCATGCTAGCAGTGCTCTTTTTCATTTTAATACTGATGATAACCATATCTAAAAAGAATATGTCAACATGGGCAGTCATGATATTAATAAGTCTATTATTATTGTCATGAGAGGCTTCCTTAATTTTTTGCTGGGATTCCTTCCTTAGAATGACGGTAATGTGAAGTGTCATAGTAAATCATTAACAAAGCCTTTCAAGAAAAATAATATTATTTGGACTATCATGTTCAAAATTGTTCTCATGTATTTTATAACCAACAAGTATATAAACTTGCAATTGGTCATATTGCTGACTTGGTTCTGGATTTTAAAAATATTGGTTCAAAAATAACTTATTCAAGGTGCAGGCATTTTCCAGAGAAAGACGCACAGTCCCCGATAAGTCCAAATAATAGGCTGTTTTTAATGTTTCTGATATCAGGGAGGGGGTGGCGTTAACGCTGTAAACTTCCGAGTATAGGGATCTATAAAATTCAGTCATGAAAGTTGAAATATACCGTCAGCACTCGGCAGAAAATATTATACTATGGACTTCACAATTGAATTGGTTTGGTTGGTTGGTTGGTTGGTTGGGGGTGGGGGGGGGGGGGGGGTTACACCATATGTGACTGGTCTCCAAATTACGTGTTCAGGGTTCCTTTGAGCAAGTTTTTGTGCCCTAAGCTTCAAATTAAGGGCTCCATGATTTGAAGGTATGGATCATGGCTCCAGCAACGTGGGCTCCGGACGGAAGTCAACGGTGGAGCAAACTTTGTTATAATTTAAAGATGTACCCAACCAGGATACCTGCAAAACGTTAATTAAAAATGAATTTCAGGGTAAATGTTGAGAATGGGCTCTTGATATAATGCAGGGAACTCGTTTCATTCGATATTCTGTTCATTTACTGACGGGACTCGATAAATTATTCAAATTTCAGATATTTTTTGCAGTCTAGTTTCGTTTTGACCACGTGTGTAACATGCTTGCCAACACTGAACTCGTTTTATCTAATACTGTGTCGTTTTTCGCCTTCTGAAGCGAATGATTAACAAAACAAGCAACGTATGTTTCATAAATTTTACATATTTGGTGGCTTACACTTACTTTTCTGGCTAGATTTTCACGTAGAAGTGAAAATAATTTCCGCTGCAAGGTGCTTTCCATTCTGCAAACTACAAACATCTGTTCGACGGCGATCGTCTACTGATTGGTTGATAATCAAAAGGAGGCGGTGTCCACAAGCCGACAATCTCGGCACAAAAAACAGCTATTGCAACCGTTTACCATAATAATTAAAGCACAAACATACAATATTCGTGTTTCAGTACAAAAATTACACCATATGGATACCTGTTTTTAATTAACAGGCATGTATGTAATTTGATTTCATACAGTTTTATCGATAGACGCAGCTTAGGTAATCTCCGCCATTAATGAATATATGAATACATAATGAGGTACCTGCGGGGTTATCTGCCCCTGACCAAATCTAATCGAAATTGCCTTAACATCACTGCGAATGGTTATAATCAGGAATAAAGAGATTCGAATGAACTCGCAAAGGAGCAATCAGGGGTGTGTTGACAGGACACGCCTTTCCGTTTATGCATGCATCACCTGCTATGCGAATCCCATTCAGTCAATTTGTCACAATCGGGAATAGGATTAAATAACGAAAGAGACGACTTTTCTAAGATCTTAAAACCTATAATAAATATTTTAACTTAATAGTACCTGTATAAAGAACCGATATGATTTTGACACCATAACATGCATACCTATAGACAACGATGAGTTAACTTATTCAAAATTAAAAAAAAAAGATTAGCAGTTCATGTCAGAATAGGAGTCACGGATACAAATATAATATAGGTCTTTTTCGAACTCTGTAATATTTAGTATTCCCCTAAGAATCTTAGTCCTTTGTTATAAAATCAGAAAATACCAAGGGGCATTTAAAAATAATCAATTTTAGAAAGACAACGATTGTAGTATCTCTTTGATGTGATGTAATTTGATTTTTATCGGTCGATTAGACTTTGATCTACGTACATGTATAACAAAACAATCGCACTTTATGGGGATCACTCTGACCTTATTCTTACCCGACCTCACTGGAGCATTCATCCGTGTGTTAAAGTTTTTTTTGTAATTTAAGGTGTGTCTGATCATGAAATTGTTTTTGACCAGGTTTACCCCCTGCAATCTTTCTTTTTAAACTCCTCCTCATGAAGTTGTCTTAGATCATGTTAACCCCCTGGCATCTTCCTTTTAAGACTAACATTAATCACATTATATGACATTTAATCGTCTGCAGAGTCATTTATGTTTTTTCAGGACATACTTTTATGTCATTTTGAAGAAAAAAATGAATCATTTGTTTTATAAATATCTTTTCACTTCCGTTTGAAACCTAAATCAATATTAGAGAATACCTTTGAGAAATAAATGGCTGATTGTTAGCACCATATTGTTTGATTATTAATATGTTGTACCTTGTAGAACTAGCGTCCTCTGTTTGTTTTTGAAACGTATTGTTTTTTAAATGTAAAGAGCTGGTAGCAAATGTGTTTTTAATGATTGCTAGGAAGTAACATTTATATAGATAATAGAACTAGGATAATCAGTCGTTGAATTAAAGGTAAACGTATCTGACAGCGTTAACACAACGAAGTAGGCTTCATGGCTCCATATGTACGAAAGTATGGTATATTAACATCATGAATTTAACTTCATTGAAGTAGAACAAGTTTTCAGGATAATTATTCATATCAGCAACTTTTCATGGACATGAATATATACATGTACATTACAAATAATACTTGAACAAAGGCTGGAAAAATTAAACAAAACGAATTAAAATTTTAGTATAAAAATAAGGAAATGAGCCATGATTTCCTTTACTGAAACACGTTTATGCACATGCATGTAGATCCTTAGACTTAAATAAAACTAATGAATACTTTCCGAGCATCAACAAATAATATCATACGATAATTAATTTGAGATACATAATCTTTTCATACAAACGGTTGATTTTGATCTCACTTAAAGAAAACATATTCCTCGACGGGATATATTCATAATGTCAAATTATGAGTTAATTACTTAAAATATATCTGGTGGGTTCTGTTGATCGCATGGCAATCCGTGTGAGAAATACAAGAACTCTTTCCCCTCCCGCAAATAGCAAGCAATGTGAGACCTGAAGTTTATAAATTAAGAATTATATATTAAGAAATATTGTGTCTCAATCCCTTAAAATATCGTCGTCTGCACAACACGTATCCCTGCACTAATCAGTGTTGTGAACGCTCAAAATTTAGGTTAAAGACGCATACAAAAAAGGGTGATCTTTGAACTCATACACTTTTATCTGGCTTTTCATGTCGATTTTTTTTTTTTTCCTTTTGAACCTAAAAGATGCCTATCAATCTATGCCTTAAGGATGTTCGCTCCACTTGATTTTTAGTTTTTGCCAGATATTCGGAATCCTCTGGTTTTATCCATTTATTGCCATTAAAAAATTTTGCCCACTAACCCCTACTTTTCTTTTCATAATTTTATTACATATAGTTTAAAAAGCTATACTTGAAAATCTTATAAAATCCTTGTTATTTTTTCGTAGTTTTTGAAACAAAAAAGCGGCCAATGTTAAAGTATAAAAAATCTAGAGACAATCATTTCCCGTCAAATTTTCAATGGCTTTTATCTCTAAAACAAGCACACGGACCCTTCTTTTTTTTCTGCTTTTTTAGTGCCTTTTTTAAATACTATAATTTTAGAACAGTCTTTTAAAAAGCTTGTTATTTTGAAACAGAGTAGCGAACATCCTTAATTCAGGACCTGTTACATGTACATGATTATTCTTTATGATATCATGGAGTTATGTAATATGATTTTGCTAAATTAAAGGTTGTTTCGTTGAAGAAGTTTCAATTAATAGGCAGTGGATGATAAACAGATTGTAATGTATTGCAGCAACATATCTTAATCAAAATGTAACCAAGAGTTCAATAAATTACTACTGTTGGTGTCGACATTTGTTTTGCACTATTAGCTGTTTTGTGGAGGTCAGATTTTATCATTGGCTGAAGCCGCAGTGCGCAGAGAGAGCCATCTACCTTCAGCAAAAAAATCAACAATCCAAGTAATTTAAGATTGGATGCAAACGGACGCACAACCTCAGTGTCAATAATTTATCATATAGCACTATTGCAACTTCAGATTCATAAACATTAAGTCATTAGTTAAAAAGTATGTTTATAACACTTTTTATTATTATTAATTATGTTTACTGTATTCATGTAAAAACCCTCAATACGGAATTTTCATAATTCATTTCCTGAATTAAAAAGAAACGATTACTAGTATTTGTTCTTTAAAATGCAAATAGTTTCGATTGAGTGAAGTAAATCTATTTAAAATATACACATTTTAAAACTAAGAAGCATTGAAAGGAAAAAAAAAATTGTAACATATTAATGTTTGAGACATGAAAAAGCTTACAAAGGAAAACAGCATTACACAACATTGCTTTCATCGAGTGATCCATACAAGTCAGTGATTCGATTACGTAAAAAATGATTAAACGTTCTGTTTATAAAATAAAAAGAATGAATATACCAATAACAGCAATGGATGAGAGTCTAAGATAAAATGTTTCAATGAATTCAGCGTATTAATTACGATATATCACATACAGCATAACATCTATTTGTATGTCATTAAGAAAGCTATAATGACATTGTTTATCTGGAGTTCAATGTAAGTTCGTCGTCATTTACTTCTACGATGTTGATTTGTTGTATTTCTTTTTTTTTATTTATTTAGAAATTCTAGTAATATATTAACTATATGAGTACAAGTATAAGTATAAATTATATTATACAAATATATTCCTGATAGGAATATCATTAAGCCGCTATCTATGTGTTTTTATACTGGTAACATTCCCAAGTTATGTCTATACGAGGTGAAACATAAAGATCCTATCAAGGAACCACTAAGTAAACAAAACAAAATATCTATGAATATTATATATTATATATTTCCCTCAAAGAGGCGTGGTTTGTGAAACAGCTGTATTTACAAAGGGCAACCGTTACCTCTGTATCGGAAGAATGAAATCCAATCTCACAAAACACGAAAGATGTCTAACAAATGTAATAAAAAACCAGGAAAGATACACAGTAGTCTACAAACATCACATAAAAGTAAAAGCATGAAAAAAAACTGAAATAAAACGAACTTAACTTCAAAACGTAAGGCAGTTCCTTTAACATTAGTGGTATTTGTTTTTGTGTTGCTCATTAAAACAAAATCTGGAGATAAGTACCATTCGATGATATAAAACATATAAAACATATATAAAAAAAAACATTTTCATGAATAAAAATCATAATAAAGGCATGCTCTAATTAAACTCAATTATTCAAACCTTGTTGTAATTTGGTCGTATTAAAAACAAAAAACATGTTCTGAATAGTATTTGTACGCCAGTCTTTTAGTCTGCGAAAGATTAATCAGTGACACTTGAATAAAAAATTATCAAAAAAACAAAAACAAAAACAATACAGCTAATGTAAAATTGAAAATGGAAATCTCTCTTCGTCAAAGAATTCAGCCAATATATGGCCTTTGCAATTGACAAAGAACGATAATGTCTTCAAACAATCAGAAAATATTTTAGTTTGAATGTTAAATGAATATGATTATATAACTCGGACATCTCATTACACAACTGGCAGTTGTGATTCTTCATACACAACCTTATTCACGATTGTGATATCTTTGTGGTGTGATGTAATTCTTATTGCCAAATTAGACTTTATCATCAAATAATGAGATATGCCCACTTTACTGCACTCGCTTCGACACTATTTGTTCCCTGCCTATGATCCCGGTACATTGCATAGAGCCGTGTTTCATCAAGAGTTCATTTATAATTTTAGGTGAATTATTATTTATCTTTCCGTCTTTTCGTCTGATTTTGAAATTGCCTTCAATCATGTTTATTCTCTGGTATTTTCCTTTTTATGTACTTCCTCAAACTAATAGTAATCACATTGAATGATATTTAATCGTCTACAGAATCTTTTTTGTTTGTTCAGTTTGTATTTTCATATCATGCATAAAAAAACAGTTCAGTCATTTGTTTCATGAATATCTTTTCAATCATATTTCAAAACTAAATCAATATTTGGTAATACCTTGAGGAAATAGGTGGTTGATCGTAAACAGATTATTTTTTGGATATTAATATGCTGTATTTTTGAGGACTAGAACCCTCTGTTTGCATTTAAAAAGTTTTGTTTTTTGAAATGTTAAGCGCCTGTAACAAAAGTGTTTTTAATGATCGCTAGAAATTATAATCTATCTAGATAATAGAACAAGAATTATCAATGTTAAACTACAAATAAACGGCTCAGACAGAACGAAATGCGCTTCAGATGTAAGAAGTATAGTAGATTCACATTATGATTTGAAATTTATTGACAAGTCAAAGGTTTTG